TTGTCTCCTGATCAACGGGGAATAACCAGAGGCCGCAGGCGAAGTACAAGCTAATTCCGGTTAGATCCTTCTATGTGCTGTTACAAAGTTATCGAGGTAGTAGCTGTTGCAATGACTCCAAGTAACAAACGGAAAAGATGCGTTCTCTAACTCTGCTGTGTTGAACGCAGCTCTGAAAAGGGACACCGTTGGGACTGAATGAAAAGAACGCTTGCTAGACGATATTGTTGAAGAAACTCTAGCCTGTAACGATCAAAGTATTACTATACGCACAATCCCCAATAGTTTGAACAAACACCCCTCACAACCAGTATATGAGAGAAATCACAGCACTACCCACCCCATCGAAAGTGGAGACTTCAGGGCACGAACAAGAAAAACAATTGAAAGTGCTGGAATACGGAGAGACGAACAAACAACGCAATATACCAGCATAAAAAAACAAGAACGCATCCAAACTCGAAAATCTCACGCCGTCGTTCAAAAATGCCGCACGCGACCACAACGCGTGCGCACTTAAAGGACCGCATATGTCGCTTTGGGACCACCTACGGCGCCTGATTACGGTGGAATGTGCGCAAGCAAATTACTTGCGGCCCAAATTTCGTACGAAAAAGTGATTATTTTTCTTTCCGATCTGTTTCTATTGTTGCAAATTGGTTGGCTTTTAGTATGTTATTTGTGCGCTCCAATTCTGCTTCTCCGTTGGACGGGAGAACATAGCTTCCGGTCTGGGAACGAGAAATCATTTTTTGGCGGGATGCAATCATGCGAATAATTATATTGCCAGCCAAGCCCAGATGTAAGGAAGTGTCCTTTTCTTCCATTGTAGCCCGAAACTTCGGAAGCTGTCTAGTACTATTCTGTTATCACAGTTCCGGGATGTTGTCACTTCTTTTCTTGGCGGAAACTTCGTGTGTTTGTTTGCAAAGGTTATCCGGTGCTATTTCAAGTTGTTGAGTTGTGCCCCGAAATGCGCTTTATTTCTTCCTGTTCAAGTCGGATAGGGTTGTATTAGTTGCCCAATGTAACCGCCAGCGCTCACCTTTAGTCCGGGGCCCACGAAGAAAATATCGGTCTCTCCATTCCAGGTACGTCCGGTCCCCACCATCAACTGGCGCCTTGGCGACTGAGGTGAAGATGATGTCCTAGACCGTAGCGACGTTGACGGAGCTGCTCGATGATGGAGGTCTTCCAGATCGAGAGTACTGCTCTCCAGGTAGCTATTTATGGGTGACTCCATACTAGAAGTTTCGCAGCTGTTCGGAGGTGACATGAATTCCAAAGGTCTTCTCCAGTCAGGTTGCGGCTGGAGATGACTTGCGGCTGGAGATGACTTCATGTTTTGGCGTACATGAAGGTGATGGGCGAGAGCCAGCTCCTGCTTGTAGAGGAACATCTTGGGTATCCTCCGCCCTGGTACTCGTATCCACGTCCTCCATCTGGGCTGCGAAAACTTTGCTGATATGTGACTCGGTCGAAATGTCTTTTTTTGCCCCCCCCCTGTATCGCGTTGGAAAGGCTTACTATGGTATGAACCGTTCGGCTTTTCCTCTTTTCTCGCTATTACGGAGTTGTATTGCTTGCAATTTTTTGTCTTTATATTTGATTTATTAGCATAGCTGTGCTAGGAGATGCTGCTTTTTGGTACGCCTGCCACATGATGCTTTGGTGAGCTACTTACCTTAGTAAGAAATTATTGTTCAGTATACGCAATATTATTTGACGTTGCGGTTTTATTATTTAGTTTATTTTAATTTATTCTGTACGACACTGTCAAAGAACAGTGAGTAGAACTTATGAAGCCAGAGAGAAAAATTAAACGTTTCTTGAAGGTTGCATATTTCTGCGGAAAAATATTTGCCTGTAAATGGTTGTTAAAAGCTGAGCAAATTTCCATTTATATATATTTGCCGAGTTCCCATTCCGGGTCTGATCAGCTATTTTGAATTTGCAGTTACACGTTTTGGCGCAGTTCGACGACGGAGGGAGGCATTATATCTTTAGCTGCATCGCTAGTTCCGGTTTACAAGTGTAATTCTGGTGAAACCTGCAATTTCTTAGCTTAAGCAAGCTAGTCGAGATACCTATAAACCCTTGTAAGCTCATGAAAGCAGCTCCCTGGATAGCTCGACACGTCGATGGGAAGCAGCAAAAGTGCAAAATGCCCCTCCCCACTCGTCGCCGAACTGCGCACAGTTTTTTTTTGCATACTTGCGAAAAATTTTGACGTAAAACTGATAGCCTGCAACAAATTGAACGATTTGTAGTGGTAGTCACTGTTATAGGTACCAGTGCGAAAATTGTGCCTCTTTCTGAATTAATCAGTGCGTTTGTGGAGTTTGTCGCTATCAGTTCTGAAGCCTTTCTCGTGCTGTGAGGCTAAGAGCGCGTTCAGACTTCGCGATCGCGCGATCGCGCTACTGTGGGTGAAATTACACCGGGAGGGGGTCATGTTCGTTCATGTTTATTGTTCCTGTTCTTTTTTTCCTTTTCCTTCTTTCTTCCTTTGTGTACATAACGCCCTCCTAATTTTAAGGAACGTTTCGAAATATCTTTGAGTTATTTATTATTTCCTATGTAAAATAGTACTAAATATACAATATGCTAATTATTATACTGAATTTTGCATCTGAGTACGTTCAAGCGGAGTATTGAACATCTTGTTCCAAAAGTAAGACACGCAGAACTTTCAACAGCGGGTGATGTTGTTTCTCTCCCTTCCCCCGATTTTGCCAGTCCTCCAGATATTCACTTTACTTTTGTCACATTGTGTTGCTTTGTTTGTTCTGCCATCCTCCAGGTCTATACACAACCTTTCCTTTCGACGGTTTCTGCAAATCGTCAGTATTGCGAATATGAACACGGCCTAAAAGACATCAAAAAAGGTCGAACTTACTTTTATATCGTTTTTGGAACTGCCTATTGGAGGCAGGATACAGCATCGTGATGTGAGAAATGGTGATATCAGTACGACTCCCTTCCCAGAACTTTGTTGTTGTTGTTTGTTGAGTTGAGTTGAACATGAACGAACATGACCCCCTCCCGGTGTAATTTCACCCACAGTAGCGCGATCGCGCGATCACGCGATCGCGAAGTCTGAACGCGCTCTAAGGGACTCCAATCAACAACGTGGCTCCCAGCTCAAAGGGAAATGTGCAAAGCGCTAGGTACTTAGAACTGAAAAGCTTGGGACGACTAATCATGCGAAAATCCGGTTGAAGAGGCCAAATTGAGAACACTCCGCGCAAGTTAGGCTGGGTTCATACTTTGCGCCTGCGTCCTTCAGCGTTCTAAGCGTACACCAGTGCCGATCACTAAGGAAGTATAGACATTGACCCAGCGAACACCAGCTTCCACCATCGTCCACCAGCATTTTCGCGGGAGCTTGAACTTGAGCAATACTGTTAGCAGAATGCTGCTGTGCGCCGCTGGACGCTGGTGTACATGGCGTTCGCTAGGTCGATACCTATGCTTTCGTAGTCACTAAAACCGGTGGAGGCTGACGCGAAAGACGAACGCAACCTTTTGGTTCAGCAAGTACCTCTTGTATGCCACTTGCTATGAATCGAATTGATGATATTTGTACTCGTCGTGTTTTATGCTCGTGCTCGTGTGAGTGTTTCTATTCGCTTGAGCAATACGCCCAAAGGTCTTTACAGGTAATATGGTGAAGGCCACCAGCGTAAAAGACGTGGACCAGCATGAAGCTGTGAAGCAAATCGCTCACTTCCTCAAAAAGAGTGGCAAGGTGAAGGTTCCCGAGTGGTCAGATATTGTCAAACTTGGATCCAATCGCCAACTCGCACCTGTTGATCCCGACTGGTATTACATTCGCACTGCTAGCATTGCCAGACGCTTGTACATTCGATCTCCCGCTGGTGAGTTCTTTAAAATTGGGAAAGCATTTTCAAGTACTGCAGTAAGCTGTTCAGGCGGCAATATAAAAGTTTGAGAAAAGATCGTGCGTTCTTTTCAGTTTGATGATTTCCTCTCAACGATATCTTTTTATTTTGATTCATATCAATATGAGGGGATTTTGGCAGTAATCAAAATTCAGCTAGTAATCCCATTTCAAAAGAACTTCGCATCAGAAGTTGTACCAAGGCTTTCTAATTCCTCTTTATTGGCAATTGATCGCATTCCTGATCGCAACCTGTCTTTAAAATTAATGCATTGTTCTCTCGAACACTCAAGACACTTTTATTAGACCAAATCTTTCTCAAAACAGAGCCGTTTTCACGTGTCGCTTCAATTCCCCAAAGACCTTTACCATGGTAATTTCGCTTGCAACTTATGAATTTTAGTAGTGTTGTATATACTTACGACATCGAAGCAGGCAGAACATATAATGCGAACCAAAATGATACCAAAATCTTGACGGATTATTCATAAGCCTGGGAAAATTTCAAAATGTTGAGAGCCCAACAGCAACTGGATACTTCGCGATCCAGTTGCTTGGATCGCGCCAGCGACGGTATCGGGAAGTATGAACGTGCTCTTAGTAGACTAATAATTTTCTTCCTTCCGTAGGTTGATCACCGTTCTTATTTGGCAGAATCCGACAGCCTGTCAAGGAACAGAGTGAGGTGATTGGTAGATTTGCCGCTAAATTACCTGTCAAGAGTGTCTATATCTTTCATTATCATTTCAGTACGATTTCAAGTTTCAATCTGTTTCAGGAGTCGGCGCTCTGCGCACAGTTTTTGGCGGAAAGAAGGGACGTGGTTCGCGACCCAACCATTTCAAGAAGGGATCGGGCTCCGTTGTGCGCAAGGCCTTGCAGACCCTCGAAGCCATCAAATGGGTGGAAAAGCATGCAGATGGAAAAGGACGAGTCTTGTCGAAGCAGGTATATCAGTTTGTTTAATGCGATTTGTTTTTATTATGTGTGGTAGAAAGTTTTAACAATGTTCTTATTTTTTCGCCTTGTCAGCAATAATTTGCGTCAGAGTCTTTTTTGCCAGAACAGCTATCGTAACCTAAATATGTCTGGGCAAATGCAAGTACTCTCAAATTTGTAATTGCAGGGAAGGAAGGACTTGGATCGAATCGCAACCGAGCTTCGTCAGCACGCTAAACCAGTTGAGCTCTAATTTGTTTTCAACCCATGTTGTTTTGTTATAAATGTTGCAATTATCTTTCGTTGGCATTGTTTTGATATCTTGGCTATACATGTTTAGCTACGGACTATTTGCAAGTTGAAGTGTCTGAGTTTATCTCACCAGGGTAACAAGAAACACTTTTCTTCTTCATTTCTACACACCCTACTTTCGCTCTACGAGCTAATATCTGCGACATAACCCTAGTTGGAACCTGAGGGTAAGCCAGAGCATTATATAGCGTCAGTCACTTCCCCACGACAACATATCATAGTGGCTGATATGCGACACCAAGCAAAAGCGGTCAAAAAGGCCAGGATGGCACATCGATATATACATTAAACCTCGATTTACAATGACCGCACAAACGCTGTACATTACCAGAAAACACTCAAATTGCTTCGATCACCTTGCATGGTCACAAGATCGAGAAATACTCTCTCGAGAAGGTGATCAAGGTGCGACAACTACTTGCTGATTGACATGCTCTCGATAAGGCATTGTTCACATTCTGCGGTCCAGCGTTTCTCTGGTTCGGCGAAAAGCTTTCGATACATATCGACTGGCGGTTGGGCGAAGAGCCTGGCGGTTGGGCGAAAGGGTTTTGGTACGTATCGACGGGCGTTTCGCCAAACCGCGACGTTTTTCGCCAGCGAAATCGATACACATCTACTGCTTTTCGCCCAACCGCCCAACCGCGGCGGTTGGGCGATTCTCCGATCGATGACTATTTATTGCTTTTCTCCCAACCGCCGTTTCGTCAGGGCCTGGAGACTGTGAACAATGCCTAATCTTTCAATAGTAGCAATTTTATACTGCAATCTTACAAGCTATAAGAATAATTCTGCCAAAAGTTTGCTAAAAAGTTCCTTATTGGAAAACTCAGCTCCTATCCCCAAGGATAGGGGCTCATCAAGCCGGGAAGGTTTTTGGATTGTCTATATCTAATAGTCGTAATACATGGTGAAGATGAAGCAGGTACTGCTGATCAGTCTCAGGCGTGTTCACACTCCTGGTCAGCGTTTTGTGCGAGAGGGACGTCGACCTAGCGTTTTGAGCCCGGAACGATCGAAAGCTAGATCTATACCCCTGCTAACCTTTTTGCAAAAAACGCTCAAGGCGCGCAGAAGCCGACAAGAAGTCTGAACGCGACCATATCAGGGGGGCGCGCATCAACTTTCCGATCAGCGTTATGGCCGCGTTCATAGCTTGCGTTCGTGAAGAAATGCAGAAGTGCGGAAAGTGCAGAAGTGCGGAATCTGCAGAAAAGCAATAGATACTTATCGACTTGAAGAAATGCGAAACTGCAGAAGTGCGGAAAGTGCAGAAATGACGAAAAGCATTACGTATCGATTTGAAGAAATGCAGAAATGCCGAAAGTGAAGAAGTGCGGAATCTGCAGAAATGCCGAAAGTGCGGAATGTGCAGAAAAGCAACCGATACGTATCGATTTTCCGCACTTTCGGCATTTCTGCAGATTCCGCACTTCTTCACTTTCGGCATTTCTTCAAGTCGATAAGTATCTATTGCTTTTCTGCACTTTCCGCACTTCTGCAGATTCCGCATTTCTTCACTTTCGGCATTTCTGCATTTCTTCAAATCGATACGTATGTAATGCTTTTCGTCATTTCTGCACTTTCCGCACTTCTGCAGTTTCTGCATTTCTTCAAGTCGATAAGTATCTATTGCTTTTCTGCAGATTCCGCACTTCATTTTCCGCATTTCTTCACGAACGCAAGCTATGAACGCGGCCTTATGGCGGCATCGGAGCACAACTTGTGCGCTCCATGTACTGGAACAGTAGGTGCTAACAGTGGCTTAGTTTCGCCAACATCATATTCAACAAGTTGCGATGTTTCCCCCACCCGCGAACATCTTCCTTGAGACGGCATACTCTTCTGCGATGTGCAAAAAAACGACAGCACATGCAACACCCTTTGATTGCGAGGTATGATGTGGAAGTGAT